ATGCCCACCCAACAGTAATGGGTACCTGACTTCGAGTTGGGGAAGTAAAGGCGGCGTGGAAAGGAACTGGCCACCCTACCACAATATGCCGGAGGCCCAGGAAGTTGTCTCACTAGTTGTCCCCAGTGTCCGGATCGGATGCGGGTACATCAGCACGCTTTTATAAAGCGATAGTGTCAGGAAGTTGACATTGCGATATTTTGCATATGAAATAAGAAAAATAGCTGGAGTTTGAACCCCCTGCCTCTGACTTGCCATACCTTTCTAATTTTCCCTTGCGTTTTATAGCTCATCCTATTCTCTTGACCTTCCCTTTCTTTCCCTTGCCTCAGCTCTCCTCCCCTATTTACTTGACTTTGGCATTATGCCTGACCATGCAAGTACTATCTGTGTTTCTCCGTCTTTTTCTATCCGCTATACGTCAACGTTTCTGCGTAATATGGGCTGATTCATCAATGTCATGTTCATAACTGCCTGAACTGCAACAGGGAACTGCTGCTTTTTCATTCCTAATCCTTACTATCGTCATTTTCCTCTACTTCTTTTGTATGTTCGTCACACACTTGTGACCAGCTATTTCAGGGGTGCCTTGATAGTCGAAGCAGGCGTTGTGCTGTTGAGGCTAGAGAGATGAGCAGAGTAAGCCTGATTTCCCGTTTGGATTTCTCATCCACCCCTTGGCGCCCATATGACCTTATGCCGTTGCGAGCGCCGTAAAATTTCTACTAAAACTTATCTCTAATCTCCGGTATTATGTGATGTAATCGTGTTGCAAGTGTCGTAAAACTCTTCCCTTCGTTTACCTGTTATCCTTGACGTCATGCCCACAGACCGGAACAGCACGGTGCCGAAGTGTTGGCCCCGCTGTCCGACATCTTCCACATCAGTTCCGGCGAGAGAAACGTCACATCCGCTGCTCTGGCGCTGGAAGGACTTTACTTTCTGTGTGAGGCCGAGGTATGTGTATAGGAAGGAAGTAAGGAAGGGCTGAAGAAAGTTATTTAGTTAAGTAAGTAAGTAAGTAAGTATGTATGTATGTATGTATGTATGTTTGTATGTATGTAAATAAGTAAGTATGTAAGTAAGTAAGTGTGTAAGTAAGTAAGTGTGTAAGTAAGTAAGAAAATAAGTGAGTTAGTAAGTAAGGAAGAAAGTCAGTCAGTCAGTCAGTCAGTCAGTCAGTCAGTCAGTAAGTAAGTAAGCAGGTAGGTAGGTAGGCAGGCAGGTAGGTAGGTAGGTAGGTAGGTAGGTAGGTAGGTAGGTAGGTAGGTAAGTAAGTAGGTAAGTAAGTAAGTAAGTAAGTAAGTTTTACGCCCCTATCCACATCCCTATCAACACTATTAGGGGGTTTGATAGCCGGACCTCTCAATTTAACGCAAAATTGGTGAAGAGCCTTTAAAACTCCACAAAACGACCCGAGTTCATAAACGCCCAGCGTAGGATTCGAACAAGGGCCAATCGTTTCGTAGTCTAGCATGATACCAAAAAAAAAAAAACAACAGAGCGACGTAGATATGTGTATTTGTGTGAGTGAGGGGGTAGGAGCACATGGGGTGTAGAAAAAAACTGTAATTCGATTCAGCAGGGGAAAACTAGTACTATGGTCTTTTTCTGAAAAGAAGCATCTCAATGAGAACAGAAATCGCAGTGTTTTCAAAGGCAATGTATGTTCAAACCTTTTACTCAGCTTTAAATGCTGGACTACTACTTTTGATCGTGAAAATAAGCAAAAAGCAACAGAAATGTGAGCTGGGGTTGGTAGGGAGACTTCAGAATTCCATGGAATGAAAAGCAATCAAATGAAGGAGTTCTGGGCGTTTTAGAGAACACAGGGCAGACATTTATAAAAACTAGACTCATTTCACACGGCACTTGAATTGACCTTAAAATATTGAACGTCTTGCTTTCGCTGTAGAAATAGAAGAACAAAAGTGGTAGACTAAGAATAATTTGTTTAAAGAACTTGAACGATAGGTGATGGTAAAAGATTTGTTTGATATAAGTACAAGTATTTTGAAAGCACCCGGGCAGAGAAATGATACGCGAAACGTGATCGCGATGTCTGTCTCAGATCTAGCGCTTTAGGAAGAAGAACAAGACATCGAGTTTCAGTCGGCCTAGATCACGCAGGCTTTATTGTAGTAGAAATTCATTTCAACACTACCTATGCACTCAGGAAACCAGACATAGAACTAGGACTTGTACTAACAAATAGTAGTGACCGATGACTTCAGTGTGTTGTCCTTTAAAAGTAGGTCTACTTTTTTTTAGGACACCCTGCTTTTTTTTCTTTATTGTAAAAAAAAATCCTCCTACCAGAAGCTGTCATGTATACGCAGAAAACACGAGTTCTGTTTACGTGGGAAAGTTATTTTATAATGGAATATATTCATGTGTCTGCTGGGATTTGATACCCCGCTTAGATCTGACTTACAAGGTCTGCCAGTGGGGGCGTTTGATATTTTCTATCATTCACGATCAGTCCTAAAGACTCTTTTGAATTTGAATTGCCACTTTCAGTTCACTTTGCACTACTTTCTAAACCATCTCAATCTGAGCATGTTCTTATTTTCCCCTCCCCCCCCCACCCACCCATCCCTTTCCCCCCAACTCGCCCCATTTCCCAAACTCACCCCTCTTCAGGTCATAGACTTGAAATCTCTGTGGAATGTCCTTGGGGAGAAACTGGTCCACGAGACACGGTATGGTGGAATTTCGTTTTTTTGCATCTCACAATTTGACCTATTTAGTTTTGTTTCCCTGTTTGTCTTATCAAACATTTCATTGTACTTCTGTATCTATATTATATCTATCCGTCTGTCTGCCTGTCTGTCTGTCTGTCATTTTATCTCTCTATCTGTGTTTGAGAATTCGATTGATTCTCACGAAGGGAATGTCCAGCTGGGATGTAGTGTCACACGCAGCCTGTGTAGACGATGACAAGGGTGGGTGGTTGGAGAGTGCCACTAGTAAGTCCTACTTGTTTTCTTTCCCTCCTCCCCCGGGGCAGTGCCACTGACTGTAGTGCCTTTAGGCCATTCCCAAAGGGGGGGGGGGACATTTCTCGTTCAAGCACAGTAGAATTGTAAATGGGCTGATTCATGTCACGCTCATAACTGTGCCTGATCTACAACAGGGAACTGCTGCTTTTTCTTTCCTAATCCTTACTATTGTCATTTTCGTCTACTTCTTTTGTATGTTTGTCACACTCTTGTGACCTGCTGTTTCTGGGGTGCCTTGATAGTTGAAGCAGACCTTGTGCTGTTGAAGCTAGAGAGGTGAGCAGAGTAAGTCTGGATTCCCTGTTAAGATTTCTCTGTTGACACCCACCCCTTGGCGCTCATATGACCTTATCCAGTTGCGAGCGCCGTAAAACCCTCTACTATAATAATGAAATATTTCTTTCCCTCCGTTGTTTCTATCTATCAGTCTTGGGTTTTTTGCGCACTATATGACCATTATTGTGTTGATGTGCTTTTTTCTTTACTCAAAATCAAACTAGGCAGTGACCAGCAAGGTCGATGCATGCCGCATCCTAAATGGTCCAAATATAGTCGATAAGGGTATGAAAGTAGGTAGACGGCAGATGCTCTAGTGTGGTTTGCTACTTTTTTCCTATCAAACATTTAATTTATCATCCGTATCTCTCCTCCTTCTTCGTGTTTGTTACTCGCTTTTAACACCCTTGGTCTTCGGTTCCTGTATTACCTTATTATGTTGCAAGTGATGTAAAACTCTTTCTTAAAACTTAAAAAGAAACTGAATTCAAACTAGACGGTGACAAGCAGGGTCGATGCATGCCACCTCATAAATACAAATGTATATAAATTATGGCTACGATGATGTGAAACGTATAAGAATATTCACCATGACGTGAATGTATCTCTTCATTTTTTTTTTAAATCTCTGGACAAGGATGGCGTGCTGTTAATAATGTCATTACATATTATGTTCTTAATATGTTTTTGTGGATGTGAGCATGTGTCTGTGTGCATTAATCAGTTCATGTAAGACGGATATGGGTGATAGGGAAAGATCAAAATAATGTTGCTTTTTCTGTGAGAGCATCCGCGAGCGAAGGAATGAATGGAGAACCATGATCGCTGATACCTGTCCAGGATCTGGCACTTGATAATGATGTAAGATGGAGTGTATGTCCGTAATCGCTGAGAGAGAAGCAAGAGACAGAGACAGAAAGAGAGAAGAGAGAGAGGGGGGGGGA